CTGGCCTCCCACCACGCCGGTCTTGTGACCACATGATTCCTTTAGTTCCAGGGGCACAACCTGTGAATATCAGACCATGCCGTCACAAGCCTGAACATAAGACAGAGATAGAAGCTCAGGTGGAAGAATTACTCAGATCAGGTGTCATTCAGAGAAGCATGAGCCCCTTTGCATCACCAGTGATATTGGTCAAGAAAAAGGATGGAACCTGGCGTCTGTGCATTGACTACCGTCACCTCAACGCTCTCACAGTTGTTGCCAAGTTCCCGGTCTCGGTTATTGAAGAGCTATTGGATGAACTCCACGGTGCTGCTTGGTTTTCCAAGTTAGATCTTCGAGCGGGCTATCACCAGATTCGTTTGGCTCCGGGGGAAGAATACAAGACAGCGTTCCAAACACATCAAGGCCATTTTGAGTTCAAGGTGGTTTCATTTGGCCTCGCGGGTGCCCCAGCAACCTTCATCGGGGCAGTCACCACAACTCTCAAACCTGTCAACCGTGTCTGCATCGTGTCATTCTTCGACGGCATTCTCGTTTTCAGTGTGTCTCTCAAAGATCATGTGATCCACTTGCGTCAGGTTTTGGGACTTCTGCGCAAGGACAGTTGGAAAGCTAAAGTGTGCAAATGTGTTTTTGGTCAGCAGCAAATTTCGTACCTCGGCCACGTCATCAGCTCGCAGGGGGTTTCGACTGATCCAACCAAGATCACAGCAGTAGCAAACTAGACAGCTCCTACCAGCACCAAGGAGGTGCGTAGCTTCCTGGGTCTTGCTGGCTATTATCAGCGATTTGTGAGAAATTTTGGAGTCATTGCAAGACCGCTGTTCAACCTTCTCAAGAAAGTGACTCCTTTCATCTGGATAGACACAATCGAGACATCCTTTCAAGATCTCAAGCAGCAGTTGATCTCAACACCTGTCTTGGCTTTGCCCGACTTCCAACAACGTTTCACCATCGAAACAGACGCAAGTGATCGTGGAATCGGGGCCATTCAGCAGCAGCAAGGGCACCCGGTAGCTTTCATGAGCAAAGCACTCAGTCCTCGCTACCAGGGGTTGTCCACGTACGAGAAGGAATATTTGGCAATCGTTGTGGTAGTGGACCAATGGCGCCCCTATCTGCAACATGTAGAATTTGACATCCTCATCGATCAGAAAAGCTTAATTCATCTGGAAGAGCAACGACTGACCACTCCTTGGTAGCAGAAGGCATTCACCAAGCTTTTGGGACTGAGATACCGCATTCGTTACAAGAAAGGAACTGAAAACACGGGCGCAGATGCACTGTCCAGATCCAACACCAAAGATACTCTCTTCGCAGTATCCTCTTGCCACCCAACTTGGCTCGAGGATGTGGTCAACAGTTATAACAGCAACAACCACGCTTCACGCCTGCTGGAACAGCTGTCATTGCGTGACGATCCCAAGGGTCGCTTCTCCCTTCAACAAGGAGTAATTAGATTCCAAGGCAGAATCTGGCTGGGAGGGAGTACGCAAATGCAACAGAAGATCATTTCAGCCTTCCATGACAGTCCTTTGGGGGGACACTCAGGGTTCCCAGTAACCTACCGTCGCATCAGACGACTGTTCGCGTGGCCCAAGATGAAAGCGCAAGTGCTCTAGTACGTCCGTTGCTGTCAGATATGTCAACAGGCTAAGCCGGATCGTGCAGCATCTCCAGGGTTGCTGCTCCCTCTACCTATTCCAGCACAACCATGGGACTTCATTTCCATGGATTTTGTGGATGGTTTACCACAGTCCAGCAGGTTCAATTGCTTACTAGTGATCGTAGACAAGCGCACAAAAATTGCCTATTTCCTGCCATTGGCTCACCCGTACACAGCAGCATCAATGGCCAAGCTTTACATGAGCCAGATTTACAAGATTCATGGGCTGTCGGGAGCGATCGTCTTTGACAGGGACCCGGTGTTCACAAGTCAGTTCTGACAGGAGCTGTTTCGCGCAGCGGGCACGCAACTACAACTCAGCACTGCCAACCATCCGCAGACGGGTGGACAGATCGAGTGTGTCAATCAATGTATCGAGACTTTCCTTCACTGTTCCACTCAAGCTTGTCCCAAGCGGTGGAGCTTTTGGATACCTCCGGCCCAGTTCTGGTACAACAATGCCCATCACTCAGCCATTGGCATGACTCCTTTCAGAGCCATGTTCGGGTATGAACCGCGCCATTGGGGAATTTCGGCCAGGAGCACTTGTTATGTTCCAGCACTCCAATCGTGGTTGGACGAGAAGGAAACAGTACAAGCCCTACTGCAGCAGCACCTGAACAGAGCGCAACAGATCATGAAGCAACAAGCTGACAAGAAGCGATCCTTCCGAACCTTCACAGTGGGCGAGAGTGTCTTCCTCAGGCTGCAACCATACATCCAATCCTCTGTTGCCCTGAGAGCAAACTACAAGCTGAGCTACAAGTACTACGGGCCGTTCGCCATCATCGACAAGATCAACGATGTGGCATATAAACTTCAACTGCCACCGCAAGCCACTGTCCACCCGGTGTTTCACGTGTCGCTCCTACGCCGTGCACTTCTTCCAGGTATGGTTGTTGAACCACAAGTACCACATTGCACCGACGACCTTGCTGTGCCAGTGGAAATCCTGCAAACTCGCTGGCGCCGGAAGAACAACTCCATGCGCGAACAAGTGAAGGTCCGGTGGTCCAATTCCGCCTCCCTCGGCACCACCTGGGAGGACAAAGACAGCCTCAAGGCAAGGTTCCCGCATTCTGAGGCTTAGGGGCAAGCCTCGTCTCAAGGAGAGAGGGATGTTAGCGACCCCGACATGCAGGACCCACTGGGCAGCCACTCCAACAACACCAAAGCTGCGCAGCGCCCCAGCAGGCTCAAGCGGCCCAACACGCGAGTCCACGGGCCAGAGTGGGCTCACTGAAGCCCAGGCGATGGCTACTTGAAGCGAGACGAGGGGCTGTTTGGATCGATGCCCGGAGATGCCCTGCCAACATTTTGGCGTTGACCTGGCCTAGCGCTTGTGTTTGGATGGTTACAAATCATTGGTGTGCCCTGCCCTGACTGGCTGTCCTAGTTCAATCTAGCGCCAATTTTTTGGCCAGGCGCTGGCGGTGGAATTGGCCGCCAATTAATTGGCGCGCCCGCAGTTGGCGAGGCTGGTGCTGGCGCAATCCAAACAGCCATGCAGCCACAGTCATCCAGTGGATCATGGCAACAGCGGCTCGGCTCTTTCCCCTTCCTCTCCTCGTCACAAACCCTAGCCACCATTCTTGTAATTTCCCTGTAATTCGCCACTGAATCGTGAATCTGAGAGTGTTGCCACAGTAATCGAGCTATCCCCTACTATACTCTTATCAATCAAGCCCACCCGGCTCACACACACGTGCTGGACCTGCAACTCCGGTGACCATGAGGCAGTCGCGCGCTCGCCCTGCTCAGTCTGTTTGCCGCGCAGTCCGCCGCCGTCTGCGTGTACCCGACTTGAACGAACAGCATCCGGAGGTGCATAAATTGCGTCCCAGCCATGAGAGCCGTGGTCTCCTAGCTGCCACCATGTGTGCACGTGATGCCTGCATATCATCAACCAAGGCATACATGATCTACGTCTCGTCACCAACGATGACCAGCAACACGACACACACACGACGACGCTGGCTGTGTCGCTGACGTTCGGGCAGCAGCAGCAACACAACACGCACGACAGGCGACCGCGGAGAGAACATCGCATTCGACTGCGGTCTGCGTAGCACCGAGCAAGCGGGTTCCTGATCCGGGCGAGCAGATGAACAGGCTCGTCGTGCTGCACACGAAGTCATGGCGCTCCGGGAGAGCATTGCAGACGACACGCTGGAAGACGCGCGCGGGAGCGGCCTCGTGGAGGTTCTATAGCTTGGCACGGTGCGCGCTGGTGGTTCATAGCATGCGCATCTTTGTGCTGCTGAGCTCGACGGGGCAGGTGCCCACACGCCACTAGAACTGCCAAGGCCGGAGCACGTACCAGTGCGAAGTCTGGTTTTAGTCCAAAACCACGCCACGTCAGCCGAAAACCACCCGAAGCCACAGGAGGGACTAAATTTATCCAGTTTTGAAAGTTGAGGGACCAATGTTTGCTGGTTTTGGAATTAAGGGACTATTTCTATACTTTTGAAAGAATCGAGGGATGAAAAATATACTTATCCCGATTCATTATACGAAGTATTATACGAAGTTACAGCTATATGTCCAGTGTGTGGTGTTGAAGAGGAAGACAACTTTCACCCATTTTGCCGGTGTCCGCTAGCAAGAGATTTGTGGCGCTGCATGTCCTCCGTTTGGTCGCTTCCAAAGTTGGACGAGATTCAAAATTCTGGAAGGGAGTGGTTGTTACATTTGCTTGACCGGGTGCCTGCTGAGACGAGAAGCATGATCTTGATGACACTTTGGCGTAGCTGGTTTGTCCGTAACGAGGTCGTTCATGATAAGAATCCGCCACCTGTAGAAGTGTCAAAGCAGTCCTTGTGCAGTTATTTGGAGACCTTGATGAACATCAAAGTCAATTCAGTCATCGGTCCTTGCAAAGGTAAAACCCCAGTTTATGTTGTGCCTATACCAAAATCTTCGGTTTTGCCCACAGAAGTAGTTCATCTTGGCGACCGCCGAGTGCGGGGAAAGTTAAGTTGAACTCTGATGGTTCCTTCACCGTGGATGGAAGAGCAGGTGCTGGTATGGTTTTGAGAGATTTTAATGGTGCAATCATCTTTTCTGCATGTCGTACGTTGTATAGATGCCGTGATGTCTTGGAAGCAGAATTGTGCCCTTATGAGAACTGAGCTACCTGTTGAATTGGAGGTTGATTCCTTGGAAGTAGTCAAGATGGTGCAGACAAATGACATCAACAGATCAATTTATTCTTATCTTATTAGAGAGATCAAGCTGATGATGAGTCTTCGGGAGACTAGTATTACTCATATTCGTAGACCCCAAAATAAAGTTAGTGATTGTTTAGCTATCTTTGCTAGAGAGGAAGGTAGAACTATGACTTGGTAAGGTTCTGGACCTCCCAGAGTTTTGGAACTTGCTGTTTTAGATTGTAACACTGTTGGAGTTTGAGTAATATACAAGTTTCTATTCGCAAAAAAAAAAGTATCATGGTAGGAACTATCAGATTTGCTGGTTGTCAGATGTGCTGCGGTGAACGCATTTTTAGCTATATACACAGCATTAAGCTATACAATGTCATGGGAATATTCTTTCATGTACAGGGGATATGAAAGTATGGTAGCAAGAAGTAAATTATTTGCAACTTGGTGGATTTGTACACTTAAACACACTAGAGGCTGGTTGCTTGTATTCAGGTATACTGGCAGGATCAACGGCTCGGACCTCACCCAGCTGAAAGAACAGGCTGTCATGCCTGCAGAAGTTGCATCATTAGTCAGTTAGTCGGATATGTTTCCCTTCTATTTTTGAACCAGGCAGGAGGACTGCATGTATCATACTTAAGATAGAGAGATACAACCGACCAACAGTTCAGATGATCCAGCTTACTACAGCAACCAAACGACCACAAAACTCAAAACTAAAATATTTAGTCATTTAGTCAGGATATGTTTCCCTTCAATTCAGGAACTTTTTGGTGTATGTTTATGGATCAAAGGGAACGGAAATCCAAATATCTGATGCAAGTAGTATGTCCACATGAAGTCTTTCTTATAAGCTTGCAAAATGACAAGGATTAGTTTTTACCTCCGCAGGTCCAGTCCTATCAACCCAGCTTGAAGAATTGACAAGTTGTCAGAATCTGGCGAAACGATGACAACAGTATCCCCTGAGTACTGAGTCTCTAGTATTGACATGAGCCGTGTTACCCGAACAAATACGTCCGCCACGCTCTCGTTAGGTGTACCATCATAAGTAGGAGGTGGTTTGATGTCTGGCGAAATATTATCAGATGCATACACCTAAATCCATCACAATAAAGGAAAACTCGATCATGATAGGAACAAAATCTGTTAAACCAAAGTTATCTGTATCTGCTGCACCGGATCATGTTGAGCCTGGGAAACATAACTCGGGCTATACATTATGTTCAAACCGAGAATATTCTCCCTCCAGGATACTCATTTGCCCACTAGCGGATGTCCACCTATGAAAATACTACTAATCTCACTTGGTAGCTACCAGTAACTTCAAACAGGCATGGAAACTTGCCTAATGATGAAAATGGCAACATAACTATGTCAGGACGATATACTGTTTCTCTAAATGTAGTTATCAGAATTCGCATGGCCCACATCCTATTCTTAATCCATGTTTCTAAACCTATTTTATTTTCAAATGAGCCCATCTGTCTGTAGAGATTTAGTAGATTCACACATTCTATTAGGCAGATCTAGAACCAGTGACTGTTGCTGCCTTCATGGGAAGCAGAATTTCACTAATCCTTCGTATTTCAGTTTTGCAATGTACATCTGCAAGGTCAGTGCACTCCAATATCTAAAGTTCATTCGTTGCAATAATATATTCTGAAGTTTCTCCAGAAACTAATGTACCAACGTCTTCAATTAAATACACTGCATCTCTGTGATCCCTCAAGTCAGTTGTTCTTCTAATACTCGATGTAAGCAAGTGCTAGTAGAATTTAGCTTGGAGCTCGAAAGATCGGATGAATAATACCTCTGGCAATGCTTCTAACCTCTTCCCCTCGTACGCACCCAGCCCCCGCGCGTCCAAGAAGCTATACTCCGGCACGATTTTACTTCACAGAAGTAACCAACAATCTCAGTACAGGATCACTGACCGACGGGTCATACTCATAGCCCACGACGATGTGGATAGACAGGCACCTGCGGTTGATGCTGTTGGCGGCAGCGATGATCTCGGCGGCCTGGTAGGCGCGCTGGGTGATGGAGGGCCATATCCAACAGTCGTCCTCGCATGCACCAAGGCGGCGGAGCTCGAGCGCGGCGCGCGCGGCCTGGCGGAGGCCGGCGGGGGAGAGACCGCTGTCGACTGAGGTCTTGGCGACGGGGTTGGTCCGGAGGAGTCCCTGCCCCTCGTACACCGACTCGCCAGCGCGCACGAGGAAGTAGCGGTTGGCCAGCCCCGGCGGCGGCATGCGGAACAGCCCGCGCGCCGAGGCGGCCGCCGGAGAGAGCGCGAGGGGAAGAGGCGACGCTGAGAGCAAGAGGAGGTCTCGGCGACGGAGCGAGGGGAAGGCGACGTGCGGGGAAGGGGGCGGAGGCGGCGGCGCGGAGGGGGGTCGAGAGGACGGAGCGGAAGACAGAGAGGTGGTTTGCATTTCCGGACGCCCGGCGGAGCGAGCACTCGCTGCCGGACTTGCGATTTGGCAGCTCCAACGATTGGAGTGAAAGTTTTCCGAGTATTTTCTAGCGTTCTCGTCGACCTCTCGCCAACATAAGAGAGTGAACGGACAGCAGGCAACGACTCTGTGCGGGCTTCTTCGGATGAAAATCAAATTATAATTTTGAGAAACGGATGAAAATCAAATAGGCACGAAAAATAAATTCAGAAATTTTAACAACATTGACACGACTAAATTTTTATGTCTAGCCCTTTTTCTGAAGAAAACTTTTTTTAACACAATACAAATGCAACATATGCTCACTCCTATGAACGCATCCATGCACACCATACCTGTATGAGCATCTCTGAAAGATTGAATCGACACATCATCTTGACATTGACGAAGTCGTCATAAATGTCTTCGTAGTTGAGGGGAACATCTCCTCCACTGAACACACATTTGCTGAATGCCTGGAATGAATCTAGGAAATGTGATCATCTATGTTAAGTCTAGGGCTTGATCCCTAGGCTAGGAATACCACTATCCTCCTTACCATTCAATCATAGACTAATTCTGTTGAAGAAAACTTTTTATGTCATATATAACAAAATAAATTGACTATAAATAATGGGTGTACTACAATTCTTCAAATTTTAAGACATGTACAACAACAATGTCTAATGTAAGAGTTGCCACATATATAATTTAGTAATTTGGAGGAGAGAGAATGGGGAGAGAGAAATAGGCTAATTCTAAGTTATTTATAGACAACTTACAAACAGTGGTTTTGTTGTTGTCACTGTATCGAAGTAGTCTGTAATTTCTCTCCCACAAATAGTTATGGCTAAAATTAGATTGTTTATAGATAGGTCATTACTAGAGGGATACATGCGCCTTGCTGCTGCGCACGGTTTTTCTGTCTGGAGATGAGCTTCTTTGTTTCAGACTATTGTGTATGAATGGATATTTTTTTTCTGGGTTTTATTTGTGTGTATTGGGCTCTAGCTCACTTTGTTCGGTTTGGTGTGCTTTTGGGTTTCTTTTATTATTCTCTTGGGACATAGAGGCATCGGGAATGTGTAGTCGAGTCGTGCGATTTTGATGGGCTGTAATTTACTTCCCCGTCTGGTGAAAAGTGTACATCTAAATTTTTTAGGATAAATTACGGAGTTAAGTAAAAAAAAAGTGAAAAGGTACAAGCCACCATCTCTCTCCTGAGCAATTCTAGCAGACCCCGCAAAAACTTGACCCGCAAAACGCGTTTGTGGTTTCACGAAGATCGTGTTTGCGGGTCCAAAACTAGCGCGGCCGAACAGATACCGTATCTAAACCTGCATAAGTTGAAAAAACACTTTCGCGGGAGAAATTGCACAAACATAGTTCATCACATCACATAGTACATAGTTCATACATACTACATGATCAACAAATTACAAGCATATATCACATGCTACTTTAACTAGTACTGGAGGGGGTCGGATCTGACGGCGGTGAGGATGATGCCGTGGAGGCCGAACGACGCTCAATCCTCCTCGCCGGAGCTGCACAGTTCGACGTACTTCGCGCGGATGCGGCGCCACTCCTCGGCCTTCTCGTTGGCGGCGACCGCCTGCCGCCACTCGAGGTCTTCGAGCTCCTCGGCGTGGCGGGGGCGCTCCGCATCCTTGCGCACGCTCCACTCGGCGATGGCGGCCGCAACGGCGTCGACGTCTGCGACGTAGTCCTCGGGTGCGACGACTCCACGGCGGCCGAGCGGAGCGGGCTCCTCGGGCTCCTCCTTCACGGGGACGAAGGCGAACGGCGCCGGCTCCTCCTCGTCCTTCGACCACTCCCTCTTCACGGGGAGAAAGCCCGCGCCGGAGGACGAGGAGCTCCCGGCGTACGAAGACCTCGCGGAGGAGAAGGATGTGTGGCGGTGGTCGTACTCTTCCGTCTCGCTCCGCTGGAAGCTCGGCGGCGGCGACATGCCGCGGTTGGTCCACTTCCGGGCGCCGCGCTTCCTCGCGATGTCCGACCGGACGCGCCGCTCGCGCTCCGGGTCCCTTCCATCGCCGGATTTGCTACCGGAGCCACGTCCGGAGCTCCACATTCGACCCCACATGGCGGCTGGAGGCGGGGCGGGTGGTCGCCGGCGCGAGAAATGTGGAGAGGGGGAAGGGGAATCGCGTGGCTCGGCGGTGGTGGGGGTAGGGTTTGGACCCACAAACGAGTCGTGGAACCGCAGTTATAGCGGTCGGGGCGTGCAGTTTGCGGGCTGCGGCAAAAAAAATTACGGGCCGGGCGAGTATGCGGACTCTGTTCTGGCCGAAAAATTGGGACGAGCCCGCATACTCGCCGGACTTTTGCGGGTCTGTGCATTTTGCGGGGTCTGCTAGAGTTGCTCTTAATTACCCAACCACCAATGAGCTAAGTGCATGTAGAAATTAAGAAAATCATGTGTAGATTGCTATTGGTCTTAATTACCGTGTGGTGAGAGAGAAGTATTTTTTCCTACTTTAAAATACATTGGCAAGATAGAAAAACACTCTTTCGTGGACAAATTTTGAAGCTAGATGTACAGTTTTCACCGGACGTAGGGAGTAGGTAGTAACATAGCACATCCCAAAAAAAATACTTATGTGGCATGGAGTTAATGAGGAAAGAGATGCTTGTGGTAACATAATATGTTACTGTAACATGAGACACCCCGAGGTAAAATGAGTTTATATCTCAATTAATGAAGACTTGCATGTTAGAGCAATTTTAGCAGACCCCCCATCGGGCTGCCTGCAAAACGCGTTTGCAGTTCGTGGGAAACCGCTTTTGCAGGTTGGCTCGGATGACTGCAGATGCAGACCCCAAACGGACCCGTATAAAAGGATATTCGCAGAATATACTTTTCTACGGGTCGGCTTTTGCGGGGTCTGTTCGGACACTGCGCGTCGACCCGCAAACAGAAAATGCTCAATTCTCGCATTTGACATAAGTTTTCACAACTAAGTTCAAATTCAAACAACATAACACAGTTTTACGCACAAATAAAAACCAAGTTCAGTACGACAAACGCAAAAGAGGGCTTTGCAAAAGTTTCGCCCATGTCCGGCATCATCTTGGTCGATGTTCGCTCCGCGCTATCGAGCTCATCTTGAAGTTCATCGCCACCACCGAATCCACCTCTGGCGCTTGTCCCAACTCCCGCACCGAAATCGTCGACATTGCCACCATATGGAGCAGAGAAAATATCTCCGGAACTGTAACACAGACCGACCGACGCGACCATTCTCCTCTTCAAGATTTCTCTCCTTGCCATATCATGCCATGTTTTGGTGAGATCGTCCATGTCATTGCGGTTCATTGACATGATCTTGTTCTCTTCGGCGAGCAACAAGGACATGGATTTGTTTTCAGTGGCGGAAGTATTGATCTTTAATCCTTTGCCAATGTCTCTTGGCGGTTTGAGAAGTACCCGTGCATGCATCAAGAGACACCGCACTCCATGCTTTGATCAAAGCTTGATCTTACAAGATCGTGTAGTTCTTCGATCTTTGGTTTTTCCCAGTTCTTATTTGTGATTGCTCAAACGCTTTCGTTTCGATCTCCTCCAATTCTTCCTCACAACCATGATCGTCCACGCCGCCCTCCGTCTCATTGTAGTCGAATGCGGCGAACGGGGCTTGATCAATGTCAACGGCGTTGGTGTCCAACAAGTTCACGAACTCAGCAGTTGCATTGTTCGAACCACCGCTATAGTGAATGATAACAAGTCACGAGCTGTCGCAAAAAATGACGAAAATGAAAGGAAATCGCCATGACCGAAGACGCATACCTTCTGGCCATTTCGTCAAACACCTCACTTGCGGTGGGAGGAGCACTGTTGCGCGGCATCGCCGGGGAACCCCTTTCTGCGGCGGAGGGAGTGGATGAAGGAGTCGGCCTCTTTGTAGCCGGGATCTTCCTCCGCTTTACGCCGGAGACCTTGCCGACCTTCTCCGCCACCGGCCGGGATCGCGCAGCGGCGTTGGCGCCCGGAGCGCGGGCCTTCGCGGCGGGGGCTGCTGGAGACGAGGGACGGCCGGGGAGGATGCACCGGAGCGTGCGATGGCGGAGGGTGGGGGAGCGGGAAAGGGCGTGCGGAATGTCCCTCCCGCCAAATCTCGCTGCGGATAGGGACTGGGCTCGGGTTGGCCTCCCAGCCCGTGAAACTAGAGGTTGGGGGAGAAGTTTTGTCGCACCCCGCAAAAATATTTGCGGGCCGGGGCGAGATACAGGATCTGATCGGGCAGGTTTTTCCGCCCTGATCCGCACTTTGACAGTTATTTTGTGGATCGAAACGGGATGTGGGGTCTGCTAGAATTGCTCTTATTATCCATATGTTATTACCCACTATGAAGAAAGTAATATAGACTAGTAACATATGCATATTACTAGTCCAAGTTACTCACCACTATGACCAGCCTAACACGTTTTAGATGCAGAGCCTTGTTGTGAGGAGCCGGTTGTGCGAACGAGTGAAAGTGTGTGATGGTGCTACTGTCGGGAGTGAGGACTTGAACCTAGGTTCATTTGCATCCATTTATTAATGTATTTTAAACACGTTTTAAAATGTTAGAAAAATTCAAATCAATATTTCACACGTACATCTTCGTAAAGATATGCGTGCGGCACAATATTTTGCAAAAAATGTCTTTTATTTTGCCTCGGCACAGAAGACAAATTGCAGTGCTGGAAAATAGCATTCTACGAGCGGAAGTACCTTTCTACACCCAGGAGCAAATGCTCCTGGTATAAATAGTAAACTTTAAAAATAGAAAAAATGTTTAAAAAATTCTGAAATTTTTTTGTGACATACTTTCACAAATGTTTGTTGTGCACGCAAAATTTCATTGCGAAATCATATTGGTGGAAGGCGTGCCAAAAAAACAAAATCAAAGCTCCAAAATGCTTTTGTAAGTAACATTTTCATAGCATCGATTTTGTTTTTTTACCACGCCTTTCACCAATGTGATTTTGCGATGAAATTTTGCAAGCACAACAAACATTTGTGAAAGTATGGCACAAAAAAAGTTCAAAATTTTTTGAATTATTTTTGAATTTATTTGATTTTACTGTTCACACCAGGAGCATTTGCTCCGGGGTGTAGAAACTCCACGTCCTTCTACGAGATACTATTTGTTTGTCTTTTTACACAGTCCAAAACAAAAGTCGTTTTCCCGTAAAACTTTACGCGAGTACATGGAATGTGAAGATGTACATGTGTAACTTTTTTTTCACTTTTTTTACATTTAGAAATATGTTTTTCAAAGTAGGTGCAGATGTACCCGGATGCATCTAGTCATTTTTTCTATTGGGGCATGGAGTATGTGAGCTCGAGCTCACATGCACCATCTGCTACAGTAATACCAAAAAATATTTAAAAAATTCAAAAAAATATGAAATTTTTAGCAACAAACATTGATATGTGTTGCACATGCATGCCAATTTTCGTGATGAAATGACATTTGTGGATGTCTCAGCAAAAAAAAAGCAAAATCATGCTCCAAAAACCAGTTTTTTGAAGCATTTTGATGCATCATTTTTGTCTTTTTTGCCGTGACCTGCATGAATGTCATTTTGTCACGAAATTTTGCACGCATGTGAAAAACATCAATGTTTGTTGGCAAAAAAAATCAGATTTTTTAAATTTTATTTTGAATTTTTACTGTGGCAAAGGGTACATATGAGCTCGAGCTCACAACAACACTTTCGAGAGTAAAAAAAATCACTGCATGCACTTACAGAGTTACATGTTGGGCTCATCATTGTTGGAGATCCCTTGCTAGTAGATGCAGAGTTGCCCGTGCTATTGAATTCAACAGATTCAACTTGCACCTTACCGGTTTCCTCCTCCTCCTCCATCACTCTTTTTTCAGGGTCTTCTTCTGATGAAGAGTCTTCACTCGTGTTGCACCATGCACGATCACACTTCG